GCCATACTTGTGTTGGATTTAAAGAGAGAAAGTGAGAGTGAGAGAGAGCATACTTGTGTGTGGATGCAACAAGCACATGAAATCTACTGTCCTTTACAGTTTTGTTGTGAAATTTGTGGCACATACATGGCTCCACAAGTGCACCACCAGCAAGGAGTCAATTAGTATGGCCTACATGACCTCATGTGATTTTCCCATTTCTTGAACTTTCAGGATAAAGAAAATATATCAGCGTTACTATAATCAATGACATTGACAATGACAATGACATGATAACCAGGAAGCTATTAGCAATTGTATTAACAATACAAAGTTAGAACATATCTTTCCTATAATCAAGAAAAAGGAGAGCAGGTGAGACAGAACTAGTAATTGACTCCTTGATAACAAAGCATTTGTGGAGCCATCAATGTGTAAACAAAATGAATAAACTAAAATCATATTGGATATGGCATGTCTCATGCCATCTCAGCAAATTGGGTTAATTTGATGATTGCCTGCACAAGCCCAAAGAATAAGTCTTAGATTCTCGACAAGCAGATTAGAACTTTTCAAAAAGTAGAAAAAAAAGGATGGTTCATGCTTACTTTGGAAGACTGTAGCTAAAAAACAAGCAGCATCAGAGCTGTAAAGTATGAAGCCCATGCAGAGAGCAGAACGTGAACCGTTTTCATAGCATGTGTAAGTGCCAACTGTAACTGTGGCCCACCCTTGCCATGACATGTAGAGATATCATCTGCTGTCACTGGGTTAACTCCTCCCAGGTGGCACACAGGTAGGCATAATTTTGACGCATTCCAATTCCAAGAAAACATATTTTACCTCATAAATAGAGTTAGTAGTGGTAACAAAAGGGAAATGTTGGCTAGAGTTGAAGTCACAGGGGCCACAACCTACAGTGAGATGCCCACCATCATGGATTGCTATTACACTGAGTGTGAATGACTCAGAGAAAAGAAATCTCAGAGTATGCTTGACTACCCATACACAATTTCTTATAACTTCTTCCATTCAGATACAAGACAGCACAAAATATCTTAAAAAGAAGGGACCTGTCTGCAAGTGGTTCAAGAGATACACATTTCCACTATTTCAGCAAGGAGAGGGGAGAGGGAGAGGGAGAGGGAGGGGAGAGGGAGAGAGAGACAAGAAGAGAGAGAGAGAGAGAGAGAGAGAGAGAGAGAGAGAGAGAGATATAGAGAAGAGAGATAGAATAGAGATAGAGATGAGATTAGAGCTAGAGAGGAGAGGAGAGAGAGAGGAGAAGAGAGAGAGCGAGGAGAGAGAGAGGCGGAGAGGAGAGAGAGGAGAGAGAGAGAGAGAGAGAGAGAGAGAGAAGAGAGAGAAGAGGAGAGAGAGAGAAGAGAGAGAGAGAGAGGAGAGAGAAGAGAGAGAGAGAGAGAGAGAGAGAGAGAGAGAAGAGAGAGAAGAGGAGGAGAGAGAGAGAGAGAGAGAGAGAGAGAGAGAGAAGAGAGAGGAGAGAGAGAGAGAGAGAGAGAGAGAGAGAGAGAGAGAGAGAGAGAGAGAAGAGAGGAGAAGAGAGAGAGAGAGAGAGAGAGAGAGAGAGAGAGAGAGAGAGAGAGAGAGAGAGAGAGAGAGAGAGGAGAGAGAGAGAAGAGGAGAGAGGGAAGAGGAGAGAGAGAGAGAGAGGAGAGGAGAGAGGAGAGGAGAGAGAGAGAGAGAGGAGAGGGAGAGAGAGAGAGAGAGAGAGAGAGAGAGAGAGAGGAGAGAGAGAGAGAGAGAGAGAGAGAGAGAGAAGAGAGAGAGAAGAGGAGAGAGAGAGAGAGAGAGAGAGAGAGAGAGAGAGAGAGAGAGAGGAGAGAGAGAGAGAGAGAGAGAGGGAGAGAGGAGAGGAGAGGAGAGAGAGAGAGAGAGAGAGAGAGAGAGAGAGAGAGAGAGAGAGAGAGAGAGAGAGAGAGAGAAGAGAGAGAGAGAGAGAGAGAGAGAGAGAGAGAGAGAGAGGAGAAGAGAGAGAGAGAGAGGGGGGGGGGAGGGGAGAGGGAGAGAGAAGGAAAAGATGAGGAAAGAGGAGGAATGAGAGGAGAGAGAGAGAGAGAGAGAGAGAGAGAGAGAGAGAGAGAGAGAGAGAGAGAGAGAGAGAGAGAGAGAGAGAGAGAGAGAGAGAGAGAGAGAGAGAGTACAGCTCTAGTCATCAATTCCTTTTGCAACGATTTTACATCTATGCATACTGGCCTCTGGCAGAACTGCAGATTAGTTTGCTAAGTTGATTTGAAACAGGAGAAATTATTTTTTACAATGCTTGGCATCATTATTTAGTGTCAAGTCCTTGATACACACTTTACAATACAACCGTAAAATGTGATTTGGAAGAATCAAGTTTAAATTCTAAACAGCATGAAGAACAGGTTTTCATAAAATATAAATGATGATGTATATACCCACAGTATATACAGATATTGCTTAGCCTTACCTTAAATTTTGGAAGGGCATTAGTCTTAATTCATCTTAAGTATCAAGAACAAAGTTATTTCCTCATGCA